TGAACGCCCATGCTACTGACATGTACTTCAGTTTTGTCTTGCATATGTACGCATAAGCCAGTTCCTAGCTAATATAAGAAGTTGGTAAGTGCAGCTGGATACTTTTATTTTGAAGGCGACAGGATAAGTGTGCCTGGGCATAGCTCGAGGACAAGTCCATGCGACAAAGGCCCGACAAATCCTAAAGTGACTGCCAAACGTCAGGTAGTCACATAAGCAAAAGCATTTCACTAGGAACCACCCGAGAACCGTTCCATTCTTCCTTCCTTCTTTTCGCCAAATTTATGCATTTAACTCAAATTTATGCCTTCTTCTTCCAAATTCGACGACTCGGAAAGCCACACACCCTTTCTGCAGCCATGGCGTTCGCAAAATATGCTTCCAAGTCATCTAAAATTTTTTTAAATCATTTTTATATACGAATATACTGGATATAAGTTAATAGAACTGTAGCTTTTGAAACTGGTGCAATTGTAATAAAATGTAAATAAAATGTGATACAATGTAATAAAATAAATGAGTTACAACGTTTAGTGCCTGTGCTTAATAACACTCACCTTTAAATCATGCAATATGTTTTGCGATTATCAAGATAACTGTGATCTAAAAATATTTTAAATACATAGAAAAACTTAAATAATGATGATGACACAGCGAAGTATTTGAAAGGATCACTTACTAAGGTTGGTTTTTGCTCCCTGAGCTCGCTGGTTATTAAATTTTTTGGGATGTCCCAGTACTCAAACGTTATCAAAGGTGCTTTAAAACTGAAGACGGAAGGCAGGATAACAAAGTAAGGTATTTTTTATACTCCAGCTTAATTCTAGGAAGTCTAAGAAGCGTGCTCTCAAATCCAGTGAGAAACGAGATCCTAATAAAGACATGCTAGAGGATAGAAGTGAGGCAAAGATCACGAAGACTGCTGCAGAGGTGGAATTTGAGAAGAAGAAAGAAAAAAGGATGATGGAAAGGATTCTGACAAAGGCGGAAAAGTCACACAAGCAGCGAATCATGGAGTTCAATGAACATCTAAATTCCATGAGTGAGCATTTTGATATTCCTAAGGTGTCGTGGACGAAGTGAGGTATTTACTCTGTTTACATTGGCACATCAGGGCCACTTGTACGTTTCACCAGCCCATTCCCAAACTTTCGGAAAACAAACAGAGTTGGTTGTAGAGCTTTGACATAAAAACATAAGATGAGCGAGGACTTTTGGGAATGCAATTTTCTCTGGTCACTGCTGTTGTTTTGGCATAGCGTGGGATTTTACTGCAAGGATGATATGGTCTGGTCTTGGGATGACATATAGCTGTATTTAAATCGGTAGGTCTAGTTTCTGTTATTTCTGATAAATTGTGCGGAAAAACATTTTCTTGGCTACATATAGGGGGGGTTTTATTGAAATTTTGAACAGATATTACTCATGGAACCTGGGCGAATGTCTTTGGTTCGAGTATCTCAAACAGTGCCATCAATGAAAGGATCCACAGAATAGCCGCATAATGGTGGTGTAAATGTTTTTGAGTTTTGTGTGCTAAGACCTTTTTGGTAACAATTACCTTGCTTAAATATAAGCCATGATAAAGAAGACAAAAGCCGTTTTGTTGAAACTGCTGATTTCATTTTGTTTTCGCTAAGGAAGTAAAGATCGGATGAAGCTTTGAGAAAGATTCAGAAGTTAAACTAAAATGTAGAATGCTACAGCACAAAACATTTTACAGTTGACAAGACATGCCAATGGGCTTCGAAGAACCAGTGAATGCTGGTATAAGAACGAATTCTTCTCTAGATTCCAAAACTGAATCTATATTCATTTCAAATGTACAGACAAAAAAACGGCTAATAATCAGACAAATAAGCTTCAGGTGATTTCAATACATATCTTGCAGACGAAGAGGGCATAAAGTCTCGTTCAATTCATATATTTGGGAGAAGAGGGGAAGAAGAACGTAATGGCTCTTGGGTGGTTCCCAGCACTGGCTTATGCGTACATATGCAAGACAAAACTGAAGTACATGTCAGTAGCATGGGCGTTCA